ATAGAACTTTTTTTATTTTAAAAACAAACAAGCAAGCCCTGTCCAGATTTAAAAAGTAACGTAACGCATTACTTTCCATAAAAAGTAACTAAGTAACATAATTAGTTACTTTTTTTATGGAGTAACGCAATATTGTAACGCATTACTTTTAAAAGTAACTTTCCCCAACACTGATTATGATTGCACAACAAATATTTGTATGAATATAAAATATATTTCTGTTAATTCATATTTTATAGTTTTCAAGGGAAGTGCTATCAACATGTACAGCGACTGGGAAGAAATGCATTGAGCACTACACAATAACAATAACTCAATTCTACAAGACAAATCATTTATTTATATTATACAACAGCATGCACATTTATGAAGTGCAAAAACAGCATTACTATGAGAGATCATACAGTGTCTCAGAGGAGATGAGATACACATGGCAGACAGCTGCTGCTATAATCCAGACGTTCCCTATTAACCATCTCTTCTTCAAGACCGTAACAATGTGTCAGCAAAATATGGACTTTCTGATCGTGCTGGATACAAGGCTATCCGAGTCAAACACATGATTTATCTGTTGAAGAGTGAGAACTTTTATCCATGTACTGCAAGTGTGACAGCAGAACCATTAATCATGTTATACACACATCTGATCCAAAATGTTCAGCCCTTCATGGCGAATTTGCCATGCTGTCAGTTTGGACTGAAAAAAATCAAGATATTCCTGGTTATTAAAAGGCTCTGCTGTTCATGATAAAATGTGAAATAAAATGTGTTTAAATGTTACGAAAGGAGATTTCAATTTAAAATTCGTATTATGTTTACTGATGTATGCGTCAATCTTTAACCCCCACTGCTTAGAAGGTTTAAGAAATTAAATTGGATGAATTTCAACAGGGGCACATTGTGTAAATTATGTTGTCATAGCAGTGAATGGATTTATTATTGGATGTCATCATTTGACATTTCCATAAAGCCTCAGGTTGATTCCTTCTTAACAAATGCACAACTAAATGCACTTTCCCCCTGACGTTTACCAAGATCTTTCAGTCAACAGATGGCAGGGATGATATGCAGTAGGGTCAGTGCATGAAGCTGTCAAAATGAAGTATTAAGATCAATAACCAGAAGTATCCCAAGAGCGAGTGCTGCTCTCAAAGAAAAAGAACTGCATACCTTGCCTTAAAAGGACAGCTATAGTTATTTGTGTGTCAAATTTGTTTTGTTTTGCTTTTATACTTCATTGTAAGATACATACTGTATGTAGAGATCATGCACGTCATGGTGGTATTATCATAATACTGTCTTTTCTACATTCAGTGTACAACAACATAGTCACAATTTCAACTCAATCCAAATAGCTACAGCTTTTTTTGAATATAAGTTATGTTTGTAACGTCATCATATACCATCGCTGACATGTTTTGACATGCAGCAGGTGGGCTCTCATAATACCTTCAGGCGTAATGTATGAAGTATGGCAAGAGTTATGTGTTGTATGTCAGCAGTGAAAGTGGTTGAGTTCATTTACTCTGGAATGTGGAAGGTCATATGAATTGCTTATAAACATCCCGTTGTCTGTAGTTTAATACTATAATTTTTTTAATTCAGTTTCCATGTTTTTATTAGTTCTGCGCGCGCGTGTGTGTGTGTATATACCTGTTTTTCTATTCTGGTGGGGACTTAAACCTGAATACACACAGACTCATGGGGACTCATGTCCTAAATTGAGGTCCCCATGGGTAACCAAGCTAATAAATCACACAGAATGAAGTTTTTTGAAAATCTAAAAATGCATAAAGTTAGGGGTAGGTTTAGGTGTAGGGTTGGTGTAGGACAATCGAAAATACTGTCTGTAAAGTAGACAAACCATTACACCTACAGAGAGTCCCCACAAGGATAGCAAACCAGACCAGTGTGTGTGTGCGTGCGTGCGCGTGTGTGTGTGTGTGTTTTAATCATATGCCTTGCACTGCCTTACACACCTATACACTGTAGGCCAAACGTTTGGAATATATATATATATATGTTTTTGAAAGAAGTCAATTATTTGATCAGAAATACAGTAAAAATCAAAAATATGAAATATTACAATTTAAAAGAACTGTTTTCTATTTTAATATATTTTCAAATGTAATTTATTCCTGTGATGCAAAGCTGAATTTTCAGCATCATTACTCCAGTCTTCCTCATTCCAAAATTCTTTCATTTATTGACATTGAAGTTCAAAAAATCCTTCTAGTTGATTCCCCTCAGATGTCCGTGGTCAATCTGGAGCTGTTGGAGGTGTCATGTCGGGCAGTGAGAAATCTGTCCGGCCATTCTTTGGAGAAATAACTCCAGCCTCAGGCAAAGCAGTGATGAAATCCCCTGCAAACCACATTGCACACATACATATAACCTTTTCCAACCCCCTCACATGGGCTTAAGGCTTTGAGTGATGTAGAAGCATGCAAAAGACTTAACATTCCAGACTAGCAGCACTGACAATCCGCTGTATGGATTAACCTTCTCTGCATGTAGTGTGACAGCAGTGCACACTAGATGTGTGTCCTGTTCTGACCGTGCCGGGCTTCCCCCACCTTACACATGCTGCACGTGCGCTGAGGGCACAGAGCACTCGTTGCGTAATCACAGTGGGAGGAACTTATCACTGCTTTCTTCTTCATCATGTCAGATTATGATTTATGATCATCAACAGAGAATGCCTGTTCTTTCCTTGAAAGCACGATGGCAGTTTAACCATTAGGGTTCCCTTATTTTCATGAGAAAAAGTGACTCTTTTGCTGCCTGCTGATAAGGTTTTTTGAATTAGGTTTTTTTTTTTTTGTCATTATTTGCGAAAATTAATTGCTTTCAAATTGGATCATGAATTTGTTTTAGTTCCTTTAAATTGCTGCACACTTTTCATAGTACAATCAACATTGCTTTCAGTTTCGCTTTCTTTAAGGATTTGTGTACTGTGTTTAGCATCAAAAGGTTGATTTGGGCCTTTTTTGGCAAACCGCTAAACCATTGTCAGCAGATTCTGTTTGTTTGATTGTCTAACACATTCTGCATCTGTGCGCCATCAAGAAAACAGCTTTGTTACATATGTAGCATTTTTTGTACACATTTTATTTATTTATTTATTTTGTATGTAAGAATGTATTTAAAAATGGAGATTCGTCATAATAATGATAATGATTATTTTAATTATTTTTTATTTATTTACTTAATTATTTAAAGAAATTCAGCAGATGTACAAGAGAAAAAACTAGAATTAGTAGGGAGACCTTTGATTACTGACTTACAGGTGACCCTTGAGTAACAGGTTAAAAACCACAAAAGCATATTTTATATTACTTTTATCCTCAAATAACTAAATGCTTTAAATATTTGATGCCAAATGATTGTTTGGCTTTTCACAATATTTAACAAAGTAATAGGCCTATAGCCTATGTATGTGTGTATCCTCCTGAGACCCAGGAATAGGCTTTTGTCCTCAATAGAGGACATTATATTTTAGTGAATTTCTCTGAGAACCTACATGTCACAGTTTTAGTCTGGATGTCCTGTACAACAGTGAATCTCAACCTTTTGGCGTACCGGACCCCAGTCCAATTCAGAACCATCCTGAAGGACCCCCAGAACAAAATTGGCTGATCTATGTATCATTTGTGTCTTTGTGAAGACCAAATGCAGTCAAGAATAATTCAAGTTAGCTGACTTGTCCAGTATTTGGCCATATCATCAGCTATATTGGATTTTTCTTTCATGGGAACATGTCAAAATATACAATTTATACGAAAATTCATACTTTATACGGACCCCCTGGCCTTGCGTCAAGGACCACTGGGGTCCACGGACCCCTGGTAGAGAAACACTGCTGTACAGAGCACATTCAGGGCTTTTCAGAGATATCAAATGTTTGGAAGTTTCATCATGACCACTCCCTCTCCTTGGTCTTTAAAAATGACTGACATTACTTTAGTGATCAAATGCAACACCCTTATGGAAATATGATAACATCTTGTAATTAACATTTCAATCTGACTAATATTTAAACTGTTTGTCATAAATCAACATCTCAGGAAAATGTTATGGGGTTTCAAATGAGAATATGACTTTCTGTTACGAAACAGGACAGCGATTTCATACATGTCCATAGAGGACACCAGGACTAAAAGCATTTTGGGAGACACTTTATATATTATTATATATCAATATTCCCATGAAATAGTAGATATTATTATGAAAATCTTGCCAATTATTACTCCCATAATTACAATTTCTTTTTTCACTGCAACACATTAATATGCAAATTGGATACAGTATATACATTGTATAATGAGAAAGCCCTCATGTCCATTTCACACACACACACACACACACACACACACACACAGCAAAATGGTATATCAAATCATCCTGTTATATCTTTCATGGTTGAGAATCATCTTTATACAAAGTTTGGTATAAAAAAATCCTGAAACTTAAAAATGTATTGATGATTTATTGTTTTTGCCTATTCATGTCTTTTTATTATTATTATTAATATTATATAGTCCTGGTGTCCTCTACAGAGGACATAGCATAACATATGAATAAAATATCATTTTTCAAAATTGTCATTTTTATTTTTTTTCTTATGCTCTAAACAATGTAATGACATGAAAATAATATATACATTCACAAAACTTTCTTTTCTGGGTCTCAGAGGGTACACACACAAATAGGCTATAGCTACATATATATTTGTACTGAGTAAGCTCTATATGGTATTTCATGTGGACACTTGCAATATTTTTAAGCAGTGCTGACAGTATCTGTTCCTTGTTTGTGTTTGCTTGTTGTGGTTTATCTTTGTGTTGGAGTTTTGAAAATCTAATAAAAAAAAGAAAATCATTTAAAAAAAAAACTATGAATAAAAAAAAAGAATCTAGATGCATCAATGCGCTATAATTGCACACACGGCCATTGTAATCATAAGCTGCTTTCAGTTCGCGCGCGTCGCTCGCGGTGTAGACTGGGTTTAGGCTGGGTTTTCAATTCAAAAGTGTCCTCCTCGCCTTGAAGCCGTTTAGAAGGGTGGGGTTGCTGCTCGGGGGTGTGTGCTGTGCTGTCTCGATGGTTTAAATCCTACACATGCGTACTGGATTTCGGGGTTCAAGGGAATACGCCATATTGGAAACACTGTATAGTTTAGCTAACAGTTTATTGCTAGCGGGGGAGAAGGGCCACTGATTGATTCCCGTTGGTTGTGTCGGTCGTCTCGCGTAGCCCCGTTTACAGACACGTTGTCGCGGTCCGGACTCGAACTTGTGTGACAGCGCTGTTAGAAAGACGGCTTGAATGGATCCGAGGGTCGCTTGGATTCAGCCGGAACAGAAAGGTCCTGCGAACGCTTTATGGATGCGTGTGTGGGAGACGTCTCGGGTAAACCGGACTAACACGGGTCAGCACCAGAACCACCTCTGTGTCAATTCTCCGGCGTTCGACGTTTATAAGACTGTCGCGTCCAATGCGAATAACGCCACTAACATTAAAAGCAGCGGCTCTGCGGCTCACGCGTTAAATGGAAACACCGGAGACGGCGAAATGACCCAAAAGACCGGCTCGGTGGCGGATCCGGCGTCCAGCTGCTCTAAAATAAGGACTGCAAGCCCTAATATGATCGCTGGGAATATGAACAAGGGGCATCCGTTTTTTACTTGCAGCGAGAGCGTGCTGAATAATGTCAACCAGCATCATCACCCTCCTCATCCTCATCTACGGCACTTCCATCAAGAGCAGCAGCAGCAGCAGAGTCGCATGAAGCGCCACCCGTCCCATCCGGCAGCGGTCCACAGCCACCACCATCACCCGGGCCGGAGGAAAAGCGACAATAAAGCCAGCACCTATGGGATAAACTACCTGCTCTCCAGCTGGACTAACGGCAATTATGACAACTCCGGCACGCCGTGGAAGACGAGGAAATATAACCCAGGGGTTGACGGGTGAGAAGAGCTTGATTTATTACAGCAGCGGTCGGGATGGGGCGTTATAATGTTGCGCCGTCTTTCTGTGGCCTTCTGTGTGTGATGAAGTGTCAGAGGGCCGGGGGTTAGCTTTAGCACGTTAGCCGGGGTGTCCTGGTCTGTGTGGGTTGGGTCGCTTGTGGAACCCAACTGTTTAGTGTAGTAGCGATTCTGATTCGTTAGCGATTCGATCATTTGAGTCGGATCTTGTTGCTAGTGAATCGATTGAACCGATTCATTCACGAATCGTTTAGAATGGTTTTCGAGTCATATTGAACCGAGAACCAAACGTGTGACGTAAATGAACATTTTATTTTGAATTCCGTTTAATGAACTAAATCAAATCAGAAACGAGCTAAACTGGGACACATGGAATTACAATAAACCGTCTTATTAATAACACTTGATATTTGAAAAGAAAATGTAATGGGCTTTTTGGAGCGTTCTAGTGTGCAACAGCTTCTGGAACTCACAATCCTGTTCATTTTCTTAAGGGAAATTTATTTAATTTTAATTATTTTTTTAGCGATTAACTGTGAGCTACAGAGTTGTTAGTTAATGGTTATATGCCTTTGTTGAAGCCACATTTTTCAACTAATATTTTAAAGGGGTGGTTGATTGATTTCACTTTTTTAACTTTTGTTAGTGCTAGGGATGGGCGATACCACTTATTTTGTTTTCGATACCGATATTTTTCAAGGCAGCATCTTCGATATCGATACCGATACGATACTTCTGATCTAAACTTTTAAATTATGAAATGTATTATATTACTAAGAGTAAAATGGGTAATGATAACCACTTATCTTTGTTTAAATCGCATTTTAACATTCAATACGCATTAATTGTAACTTATTAGGTTATTTTTGTTTACACATGGTTCAAATCTACAAATACTACAGTTGAACTACGGTTGCTTTAGTAAAACCATGGTTCATTTTCATAAGGGACTGCCAGCGACAGGCTGTTGCACGCATAAAATGCAAACTATTTATTTACTAACATAGGTTTTTCGTCCAATTCAATGCATAATTTTTTTGTTAAATAAACAAAATCACTGGTAAATAAAACGCACCTTAGTATCGATATTTATTGTTTGAGTATCGATACTTTCGATACTCGCAACAGTATCGATATATCAATACTTCGGATCGATACGCCCAGCCATAGTTAGTGCGTTGCTGTAAAAGCATAAACAATGCAAAGGGAGATATTTTCTTTTAAAGAAATCGCTGTTTAAGGACTACAAAAAAAGGCTGGTAGTAGGGATGGGCGTTTCGAGTCATATTGAACCGAGAACCAAACGTGTGACGTAAATGAACATTTTATTTTGAATTCCGTTTAATGAACTAAATCAAATCAGAAACGAGCTAAACTGGGACACATGGAATTACAATAAACCGTCTTATTAATAACACTTGATATTTGAAAAGAAAATGTAATGGGCTTTTTGGAGCGTTCTAGTGTGCAACAGCTTCTGGAACTCACAATCCTGTTCATTTTCTTAAGGGAAATTTATTTAATTTTAATTATTTTTTTAGCGATTAACTGTGAGCTACAGAGTTGTTAGTTAATGGTTATATGCCTTTGTTGAAGCCACATTTTTCAACTAATATTTTAAAGGGGTGGTTGATTGATTTCACTTTTTTAACTTTTGTTAGTGCTAGGGATGGGCGATACCACTTATTTTGTTTTCGATACCGATATTTTTCAAGGCAGCATCTTCGATATCGATACCGATACGATACTTCTGATCTAAACTTTTAAATTATGAAATGTATTATATTACTAAGAGTAAAATGGGTAATGATAACCACTTATCTTTGTTTAAATCGCATTTTAACATTCAATACGCATTAATTGTAACTTATTAGGTTATTTTTGTTTACACATGGTTCAAATCTACAAATACTACAGTTGAACTACGGTTGCTTTAGTAAAACCATGGTTCATTTTCATAAGGGACTGCCAGCGACAGGCTGTTGCACGCATAAAATGCAAACTATTTATTTACTAACATAGGTTTTTCGTCCAATTCAATGCATAATTTTTTTGTTAAATAAACAAAATCACTGGTAAATAAAACGCACCTTAGTATCGATATTTATTGTTTGAGTATCGATACTTTCGATACTCGCAACAGTATCGATATATCAATACTTCGGATCGATACGCCCAGCCATAGTTAGTGCGTTGCTGTAAAAGCATAAACAATGCAAAGGGAGATATTTTCTTTTAAAGAAATCGCTGTTTAAGGACTACAAAAAAAGGCTGGTAGTAGGGATGGGCGATATGGGCTTTAAAATATATCACGATATTTCTGGTATTTATTGCGTTGACGATAATTCAGGGTATTCTGTTTCTTTAGAGAAAAGTATTATCCTTCCTATTTTTACCCAAAATAGGGTGTTGTGAGCATTGAGTACACACGTAATGTAAAGACTGTTTAACTCATACTGGGCGCTCTTGCACAGAAACTCCACATATCCATAGCAGAAGAAATACTGACGATGCTCCAGGAAGGTATCCAGGTATCGATGACTAAAACGCACAACTGATGAAACTTAAGGAAAATAAACATACGATTGCACAAAATATATGGTTTATCGTTGTTCTTCAATCTTGGGTATTTTTTGTAAGGAAAGTATATTTATAATGCAATGTTAATCAACATGGCCTTTATCACTGTATATAATACTGTCATTTTGTAATATGAAACCACTTCTGGTCACAGAAAGAAGTATTTCAAACACTCAACTGTTAAGTTAATTTGGAGAAAAAGCATGTCAATAAATTATATCTTTGTTGGACAACAGGTTTGTAAACAGGCTCATACACATGCAAAACTGTATCGCACACGTGCTACTGTAGTACATTTATTCAGACTGATTTTTTTGTGCGCTGTACAGCCCTAACCAAACCAGTTACAGATTGTAAAAGGAGCTTGAGCTCCTCATTTAGCGATATAGGCCTCAATTTCACGTCCACCTTCCTCAATGTCGCTCCGCAGTCGCACACAGAAATATGTCAGCAACTAGACTTTATCATTATTATCGCGGGAAGACTAATTCTTATCGCGGGGAGAATTTTTACCGGTATATCACAAACGATAAGATACCGCCCATCCCTAGCTGGTAGGGACTACAACAAGCTTTTTCCTGGGTTTGTGACATCACTAACCCTACAATTTACATAAACCCCGGGAACACGCAACTACCCATAATGGTAAGGGGGTGTGACATTTCCGGACAACGTGCACTAGGCAGTTCGCGAATCAGAACACACTGGGCCAGCTAACCAATCCGAGCCCATTGCGTATTTCAGGAAATCAACAGACTGTTTTTAGGAGAACAGAAACAGCGTTGTAGAAAATGTGAAAGTTTTTTTTCTTCAAAGCATAAAGTTACACTGCACCCCATAAACACAATCAAGCCTTCGAAAATAGTTGATTTACCACTCCATTAAATAATCATGTTCAACAGTGACACTTTTGGTGGAAAAGCTACATTACCCATGATTCAGCGGAGAAATCTCAACCAATCAGAGAACTGAGACAATTGCGCCAAAAGATATTTGTAGCGCATGGAATTTTTGAAAAACACTGCGAATGATAGTCAACTTCCCTACGCTTTCATATAAAGTCATATCATATTTTATATATAAAACTATTGATTTAAACACTTGATTATATATACAGAAACAATACATTACGTTCACTGCAAGATTTGCAGTTTATAAACAGTCATTTATAACTTGCTGCATTTGCAGTGAACATAAAATGTATTGTTTACATATGGATAATCAAGTGTTTAAATCAATATTTACATTTCTCTTTTTAATTCAATTGTTATTCGCAATGCTTAATGGGATTGTAGTTCTTTCCCGCATTAAAGCCATTCAGCACGCTGTCTTGTACTTTTTCTCTGATTTTCAAATATTTTTCTGCTACCAGTCACTGTTTGTAATGTTTTGATCCTCTCGTAGCTGGTTGGTTTGGTTCATGGTTTATATAACTTTTTATGATTTTTAATAAACGGATAAAAGGAGAGATGCTTCTGTAACCAATGCAGCTGGAAGAGTGGGTGGGCATTAATGCACTCTATATATGCCATGTCGGGGACCATGTGACGACGCGACTGATCACTAAACCTGAACCTGTTCGAACCTGAGTGAATTAATTTTTTTTTAATTGAGTTCTTATCAACTACACTTTTCGAAGTAGACTTTACAAATACAGCAAGTGAGTTGTTGTTTGCTTATAAGTCTGACAACAGCTTTTTACTAACCATTTTGTTACATTTGTTGTCATCGCCTGTCCATTAATGTTGGCTGTCGGCTGTGTTCAGGGTTTTGGTGTTTGCTGATTTATGAGTATGACACTGGACACTTAATACAATGCATGCTTTAGTGCTTAGTAATCCAGCAATTGTAGGCTTGTAAGAAGGGACGAATCTGTTGCATGAACTTGTTATAATTGTGGTGGATGGTTGCAGACCTCTGGAATTTTTCCATGAAAGAATCTGGAACCGAATGAGGCAGTGACTGTGTCCCAAAACCTATTGAGTGGCTGATGTAGTCCTACTAGACAGCATTTCTCTGTCATAGACTCATAGGTGCAAAATGCTGATTAGGTGTTTAAGATTGGTGGACATTGGTTTTCTTGGTATTTCCAGCTGTTGAGTATTTGAGTAAAATAATAAGAACTTTTAAGTCTGTAAATTAGCTTAAAGTTTTATTTAGAGGTATTGGTGTAGGACACTACGAGGGATAAGTAGTTCATATGTGCATTTTTTTTTCTATGAAATATAATTGTAAAAATCTGATTCAAAACAAAAATTAAAGTCTAGTCAGCTCATCAAGGATGTTACCAAATATTCACAATTAGGAGGACCAAATGTAAAGGTTGAATAATAATTTTTACGATATAACCCATATTAATTTTCCAGCCACATTAAACCATCATCATGATCATGTTTTTCATGATCATTCTTTCCCTACATAATGGGTTTTTTACACATGTATTTGTTAATGGTGATTTTTACTTCATTGTTTTGTAATCTGGAGTATCTTTTCCATGTTTTAAACTTTAAATACTTCCGGCAGTTGATTTTCTCCATGGGGAATTGATCGGATTGTGAAACGTGGCTGTTTCTATACAAGAATGGAGCCAGATCTGAATGTGAATTTTGTTAACATTTAACCAGTCAGGTTCTTAGTCCTGTAGCCCAAGTGTATTTATTGTACAAAAACTTTATTTTTTATTTTCAAACAAATGTTAAGATTCTTGCTTTGAGTTGTTGGGATGAATCTGCAAAAATGGCCTCTTAAAGTGTACCAGCTGCCTTTCCATAATTTTCTTTTTGCATTTCTTCCAAGGTTGCATGAAGAAATCATGGACTTCTACAATTTCATGTCTCCTCGTCCTCAGGAGACCACCATGAGACAGGAGGTGGTGGACAGGATAGAGTCGGTCATCAAGGAGTTGTGGCCAACCGCTGATGTAAGATTAAGAGCTGATGTCTATGCAGTTGGGCTGTTATTAGCATAATAAATTAGAATTCAAAAATACGAATGTATTTGTTTTTACTTTTATGTACTTTAGGTCCAGATATTTGGCAGCTTTAGCACTGGACTCTTTCTCCCAACCAGGTAAATGAATGTGTGTTTGATCTTGCATATCAGGTGACAACACAGCAGTGAGTTTTTGAACAGGATTATCAGCAGATCTCAACATGCGTGATGTTGCTCTCATGATCCGTTGTTGCTGTACAGACATAACACTATTCACAGTTAGATGACTCTCACAGACTGGTGGGATCAGAGCACATGCTTCATCTTTATCATAACCATAGCCTGCTAGCCTTTTTTTGGCTTTTAGTAACTAAACGGACGTTTTATGATCAATTGCTGTTTGCTAACTCCAAATGTGAGATTGGCACAAACAATCCGAGATCTATAGTTTATGGAAACTTGTACAGTCCAAAATAATTGGTCTCTAAAGCCTGAAAGATTTTCCTTGTGTTGCTGTTAGTCAGTAGGCCTCATGTATTTGCCTTAACGCTACTGAGGAGGCAATGATTGATTGATTTATTTGGTGGTTTTGTTTTCATGTGAGATATGGGCTTCCGCTAGGCTTCTTGGACAGTGTTGATTTTAACAAATTGCATAAACCTGAATCTGGCTGATTCTTTTACACTGTAGTGACATTGACCTGGTGGTGTTTGGGAAATGGGAGAAACCTCCCCTGCAGCAGTTGGAGCAGGCGCTCCGAAAACACAATGTGGCAGAACCATATTCCATCAAAGTTCTGGACAAAGCTACGGTACGTGTTTTCCCACTGTTTATTTAACATCAACCACACTGTTTCATATTCAGTAGTGGTTGCTTTTTTTTTTCGCCAAGAATGTCTTTGGAATGTTGCTTCAATTTGTAACATTTGGGGGTTTCTTAGCCATTAATTGTGTTATATCTTTGAATTTGGAAGGTACCAATCATCAAACTGACAGATCAGGAGACCGAGGTGAAAGTGGACATTAGTTTTAACGTGGAGACGGGCATCAAAGCTGCTAGCTTCATCAAAGAATATGTGAAGGTAAAAACGGTTTTAGCATATTTTGAAATTCTAATTTAACAATTTTGTAAAACTACACTAATGTATAGTTTCAAAAGTGACTTCAACTGAATATTGTTTGCTTGCTTGTATTTATTGCAGTGCTCATTTGTCAATTTTTTGTTTGTTTTAGTTTAAATTACTAAATTTAAAGGACATTTTAAAGTCCATTTTTACTTGCTAAATTAGCATATCTCTTTGTTTTAGTCTCTAAAAATAACATTTTAATTGACATTATTTGCAAAGTGACAGCACATCAAACTGTAACAGACAATTGAGTATTTACAAGTTCATCTTGAGATTTCTATTACATGCTTTGTTAATCCTGAACAAAGTCACGTTTTCCACAAAAACGTTAGCAGCACAACTGTTTTCAATATTGATGATAACCAAATTATTCTAGTAAGCTGATTTGGTGCTCAAAAAAAAAACCACACACACATTTCTGAAGGATCATGTGACACTGAAAACTGGAGCAAAGATGCTGAAAATTCTACTTTTCCATCAGAGGAATAAATTACATTTTAATATTCAAACAGAAAACAGTTCTTTTTAAATTGTAATAATATTTCACAATATAATTTTTTTTTTTTACTGTATCTTTTGGTCAAATACATTTAACTTTTAGTTCTAGTACAATTTAGTCATGTCATATTCAATATTTTTGTCCATTTTACTTTCGCTGAAATGCCATATAGCCTGAAGCATTTTTCTCTGTAAAAGTGATATTTTAGTTGCCTATGATTTGCAAAAAGATGAGAACATATCAAGCTGAAACAGACAATGGAGTAATTACAGCCCTAATGACGCATTGGAACTAATATCATTTAGTTCAACTTTGCATGCTTCCTTTTCTTTGTAAATGTAAGTTGTAATTTTATGTTGTGACTATAGCAGATTAATCTTACATATATGATGTGTTTCAGTGAACAAAAGCAAAGTCTTCAGCTCTTTCACCTCATGTAGGCAATTCCCAACAGAGTTATGGTTGAATTTTTGCATAAATCTTTCTACATTTTCTTGTGAAAACATTGTATGGGCATTGGGCCTCATTCATGAAACATTCGTAAATATAAGAGTAAATTGAGTAATTTGTGCATAAAACGGACCTTCCCGAAAAGTCTCCTCCGCATTCACAAACACTTCGTACACATCAGATTTGATAGTTAAACGTGTATGTTAATGAATTACAATCATTCGTAAATAGGGCGCTCGTGCACGCTCATTCACAATTAGCAGAATCTATGAATTACAGCTACGTAAATTGCGTGTCCAGGAACGCAGTGGAATATTCTGGTCTACTTTCTCAGGTTTGGCTCCAGTATATTGCATAAATGCAAAAAAACACTAATAGGACATATGCCTAACAATAAATATTCAATAACGTGTGTCCACCAAAGCGTTTTTAGCCAGCTGAAAAACTCAGGCGCTCTTCTTAAAGCGGCCGGCTGGTGGCGCTGGAGAACGTTTTGGTGGCACAGCGTTTTTCTAGCTGAGACTCTTTGGTTGCTATGATTTGAAATATTCATGGCAGTAACGTATTACTAGTATCTCATTTTGAAGAATATTACTGAATATAAAAATGCAGTAACCAGCAATATTAACTTCTCTATTGTTGTTGTACAAGTAGTATGATTGGTCAGTGCAGTATTTGTCCCGCCCCTCCTCCATTGATTGGACGGCTGGGTAAAAATTGACGGTGACAAGCGCTGCGTTTTACCCAAAGCTAAACAGTTTATCAACTCTGTCAGCTACAAAAAAAAATGCAAATAAAAATTCCGGCCCAACGACCTTGTAAAATATTATAATGGCAGTGCATCAAATTCAGGTGCTCTTCTTACAACGGCCAACTGGTGGCACTGGAGAACGCTTTGGTGGCACAGCGTTTTTCTAGCTGAGACTTGGTTGCTATGATTTGAAATATTCATGGCAGTAACGTATTACTAGTATCTCATTTTGAAGAATATTACTGAATATAAAAATGCAGTAACCAGCAATATTAACTTCTCTATTGTTGTTGTACAAGTAGTATGATTGGTCAGTGCAGTATTTGTCCCGCCCCTCCTCCATTGATTGGACGGCTGGGTAAAAATTGACGGTGACAAGCGCTGCGTTTTACCCAAAGCTAAACAGTTTATCAACTCTGTCAGCTACAAAAAAAAAATGCAAATAAAAATTCCGGCCCAACGACCTTGTAAAATATTATAATGGCAATGCATCAAATTCAGTGTCATCAGTTTGCCTAAATGAACACAGAACGTTTTACGCACCATTTACACGTGGTAGGGAGCAGGTGTAAATTTCTTTCCTACCAACTAACATTTTGAAAATACGAACATTTTCATGAATTCGAATGTTTACGTCTGAACAATTTACAAATTCTTTCTGCTGGTGTTTCATGAATGAGGCCCAATGTGCGTTGCAGTGTTACTTATTGCTACAGTACATTGCGCAGGAAGTACATTTTGAACCCTGCTTGTATTTACATGCACTATGCATCCTAGATTTGCTCTGTGGTTGCTGATTTGATGTCAATAAAGTGTCAGTGTTTGACTAAAGAGAGGAGGTTGCAGCATAACTTAACATCTGTCAGCAAGCTTTCAGTGCAGATGTTTGAATAAGGAGATGTCCTGCTGCCTTAATGCTCTTCTGCCAAGCTCATTTCCATGTGCATCTGTCAGAGGAGGTTTTTCCTTAATACACAGTTTAGGGACAAAAGGTCTGATTGACTAAACGTGCGTGCACACAAATTGATGTGTGAAATCTGTGATTTTACCAATAACTTTTGTACTAAAATATGTTCTACATTTACAAAAAAAAAATGGAGCAACAATAGAAACCTCACAAATGCAAAAATCACATGCTTTGGGTCAGAGACGTCATATCCATTCAAACTGATGGGGCCACATGCTTCCTCAGATGTTTGAGCCAAATGAATTTGGAAATTTCCACGATTATTGTTGGTACAAAATTAATGATTAGCTGTCTATTATTAATGATTAGCTGTCTATTATTATTATTATTATTATTATTATTATTATTATTATTATTATTATTTATTTAGTGATTGGGACAGTCAGTCCAATATTTGACTAAATATTCTAAATGGTCATTTTTAAGTTTTTGTGAAAAGTCAGTGCGTGGGAGATAATGTCGCAATATGGCATTTTCTTTGAAGGATTACAGAGAACAGCCTCTGATTCTCAAAATGTGCAAACACAAAGATAAGGTGCTGTTTTAGCCTGGTAGTGTCCAGTGCTTATGTTTTAAATTAATTTGATTCTGTGAGCTACAGAAATTGTTTAAGACTGAATCGATGCTGGACTTACAGTCCTAATATTCATACAAATATTAAATAATCCATGCAATTATTATGGGGCATTCAATTCATATAGGAATGATGGTATTTAAGTCTGAACTTGCATGAACTCATATGAACAAATTCAATTACTAATGGGGAAGCAGAAGCTTTTTTGTAGAAGTGGAGTTTTAAAAAAAAATCTTTCAGATTTTTTTTTTAATAAAAAAAGAAATGTAAGTAGAAAATGTACATCACCATCCAATGATAAATTTGACGATAAATCATGATAAAATTCCCCACGGTTATTATTACCGTTTCATCTTTTAATTATCATTAAAACCATATTAGATACCGCGATTTGAACGGCTCACGATAAATAAATACTGTCCAGCATAAAGCACAGTTTTAAGTAACAGTCTCACGTGCGCACAGCATGCAGAGTAGTTTCGTTTTGAGTGAAAACAGGGTGGAAAAGCTGGGAGGTTTTAAAAGAGTGCTTGGGGAATTATACAAATGAATATATTTAATTAATTATATGAATGTATCTCTGAAGGTTCTGACGGTCTTCAGAAATGATTCGATGGCATTTTGTTTTCATCTTCGCTCCATGTAATACCTAAAGGAAGTGTCCTTAATCGCAATGCTGCTTTGTCCACGAAGGTTACGGGAAATGGCTCCAATTCAGCTTTTCCATGAGCGCCACCTGCTGTCAGCAAGTGGATTTACAGAGACTTATATTTACATTCAGCCTGTGTGCAGTCTCTGTCTGGCCAAAAATGAACTGAATTTGCATGACCTGCTGTAAATTTTGACCAGTTGATGAAAAACAAGCTTATGTGGATTCTACACATTTAAACAATTCAGATAAGCCATCTAGAATTATTTATGGAGCAGATAAAATACATAATCATTTATTAATCAATTATCATTTGACATATCTTTTCTTTAAAGGCTGAACTGTGAGGTTTACCTTTTTATTAAACTTTTTCAAAGCTTCATTTGAACATTTACATATATTTCAACATGCTATTAAACTGTTGTCATTTAAAATCCGAACATCATTGGTAATGTTATTGTTTTAGTGATTATGCAAACAGTCATTTTATTTGTTGTTTCTTGATTTTTAAATATAAAACTTGAAGTGATTTGTGTCTGTACTATTTGAACATCTCCAGCACATTTTAACAATACCGTGATAATACCGATAACCGTGATAATTTTGGTCACTATAATCGTGATGATAAATGTTCATACCGTTACATCCCTAATTCTGACCAAAGTGACGAATGTGACCCCTGACATCGTAATTACGACTTCCCAACATCTGCAGCATCCTAAGTGAATTGGAACCTCACTGGTGACAAATGTGAAGCACACTGAGACTCAACTCGCAATTGATTTCAATACTGTTTGGAGTTAGCATGTTGCTAAGTTAACACCTTAATAATCTTATAAACATAATACATAGCTCACGCAAATAATGGGTGATACAGTCCTATTTTTATTAGTTTTAACTATTTGTATACTTTACAGCTGGAATTCCCATACTTTTTGGTCAACTCCTTTTGAGTTAAAATTGTGAAGTTAAATCTTGTGTTTGTTTTTGCTTTTATCTTGCTCGGACTAAAGTGACTTGAAAATACAAACGTAATTCAGAAATGCAAACTTCCCAGGATGACTTGAAACACTCCGATAGTGAATGCCACCCAACCAAATCCTTTAAGACGATGTCAATCTTGCATGGTGGAGGAATGTTAGATTTATTGACCAGTCACCAGTTATCATAACACTTTACCTCATGTGAATATCTCTGCTGCTTCTGAACAGCTGGATTTTATCTACAGTAAAAGACAATCATGTATGAAACCCCCATGTTTTTGGCACATACATGTGCAAGACTTCACAAAACAGATGTTCCTGATGTAAATGTGTAATGAGACACTGTTGTCGTAAAAAGACCCTTTGCGAACCTTGTAGAGATCATTCAAGTGTTAAATGAGTCGCTTTTGAGATGCTTCTTAATGCCTGGTGTAAATGGTGCCTTTTTTGATGTACTAAAGTCTAAAATATCATCTCTTTTTCTCCCACACAGAAGTATACCGTGCTGCCTTATTTAATCTTAGTGCTGAAACAGTTCCTGCTGCAGCGAGACCTCAACGAAGTCTTCACGGGAGGAATCAGCTCCTATAGTCTCATCCTGATGGTCATCAGCTTCTTACAGGTGTAACATTAGCAGCCGGTCTGAAAACTGTCACAACATGCAAACGAAGAGTGTTTCGTAATAAAAATAATTGGGTCTAGTCTCATTTAGAGATCTGTCATTACTTGTCAAGCATATTTTACTACCTTTGCATGACTGTCAGTCATACTCATTTCATAAATGACTCTACCAAAAAAATAAAGAGACTTGCCTGCTGTGTTTTTTTGTTTTTTTGTTTTTTTGGCTTACACCCACAGTTGCACCCAAGAATTGATGCTAGGAATCCCAACATGAACCTTGGCATTCTGCTCATCGAGTTCTTCGAGCTGTATGGAAGACACTTCAACTACCTGAAGACAGGCATCAGGATAAAGAACGGAGGCGCTTACATGGCTAAAGAGGACATAATGAAGGCCATGAGTAATGGCTACAGGCCCTCCATGCTCTGTATCGAGGACCCTCTTCTTCCAGGTGTGTTTCAAGCCATTTATCTAAAATTGGTTTCAATAACGCAAACCCTAGTGAGCTGCTTGCTGTCTACTGCCTACATTGGCAGCTAGTTTCTGAGGCAGCATCCTAACTGAGTTGGAACCTCATAAATTACCAATTTCACTAATTCCTCACATGAAGACTCTACTCTCAATTGCTTTCAATACAGTTTGGTGTTAGCATGTTGCTAAGGTAACACATTAATTATCTAAAGCAGTGTTTCCCAAACTTTTTATAGTCGCGACACCCTTTGGAAATTTAAACAAACTTGTGGCACCCTACAAAATAAATTTTGTCACAATATTTGAATTTCTAACTTCGATATGATAATTTGAAAAGTGTAGATATTCGGTACAACAGGGAAGAGCTGCAGAATATAATGTCATACAGCTATTTTTAATATTATTAAAAACATTTTGTCCATCAATGGTGGCAATCAGTAGGCTAATTTCTAATGAAGAGACCAATTTATATGACATATTTTAATGAGGGCTTTTACGTGACGTGACATGTGGCCAAGTATGGTGACCCATACTCAGAATTAGTGCTCTGCATTTAACCCATCCAAAGTGCACACACACAGCAGTGAACACACACACCGTGAACACACACCCGGAGCAGTGGGCAGCCATTTATGCTGCGGCGCCTGGGGAGCAGTTGGGGGTTCGGTGCCTTGCTCAAGGGCACCTCAGTCGTGGTATTGAAGGTGGGAGAGAGCGCTGTACATTC